AAGTTTATAAAGCAATCTATATAAAAATAAAAAAATTTATAAGAAATTTAAAATAAATAAAACATGAAATTTGAAAATATTATACAAACAAATTTGCTTGTAGATCCTGATGAATCAAAAAATAATATATTAATTTAAATTAATAAAAATATATTTTGTCATTGCTATTTTTTATTTCTATAATATTTCTTAAATTTTTATATATTTTTTAATGTTTTTTATATTTTTTATAAATATTGTCTACTTAGCTAAAATAATATCATTTAAGGAAAATGATAAATTACTTACTTTACTAAAGTTGTAATTTTATTAAGTAGTATTTAAATTCAAAGCATTTATAAAAGCTTATTATCATAAAAATTTTATAATTTAAAAATCCATTTTTTTTTTTAAAAAATCAATATTTTGTATTTTATATAAAATTTAACTAAACAACATATTTTACAATCTAAGAGAATCTTCTTCTTTCCATAAAATTACATATATTTTTATTATTAAAATTAAATACTTATCATTACTTGTATATTTAAAATGAAATTTTATATAAATGTAAAAAAAATAAGGATGTGATTTAATTGAGCACATGATAATCTATGAATTTTAAGTATATAAGGTAAAATTTTGTGATAGTTAATTATAGAGTAAAGTAATGCAATTATAATTACACAAAATTTTTTTAATATGAAAATGATCCGTGTGCAATATGTCGTGTTTGATATTTAGTAAAAATGAAACGCAGAAAAATTATGACACTAACATAAATTAAAATAAATATAGGTTTAATATATCCAAATGTGATCGTGATTCTAATAATATTAATTTTATTAATATATTCTATAATTTCAATGATTGGTCTACATACTATCTCCCATTTTTCTAGCTTTGATTCTGTTAAGAAAACTAGCCTGTAAAGTAAATCATTGTCAATAAGGTGTCATTCTCTGTTTTCGTAGAAAATTATTGAGTTGCTCAGTACTTGGTTTCGATTAAAGTGTGGACATAACGTTGTTCCGCAGTACCAAAAAAATGATTGAAATCTCTAAAAATTCCACGTAAAAAATTTCCGGGAAAAGGTCAATTTTACTTTATATGATTTTCAGTCAGTTTTTATTTTCAAGAAAATTTCCCCCTACCAAAGCAATTACATGATCGTTATCATCTCGAATTTGAATGATTACCTGTGATATTAAAAAGTCTCGGGCGCTTTCCGATTTTTTTTTGGCGATATAATTAGTAAATTTAATTTGTCTGGTATAATTTATAAAATTAATTTGTCTGTTATAAATTAAAGGATTTAATTAAACTTCAACTTTATTTAATTTTTTAATTTTTAACATACGGTAATATTTTGTTATTTCAAGAATTTGAATTTTTTTGATTGATTGGTTGTAAATATTCGCTGAAGAATTCCTAAACGAATCATTAAATCGTGGCAATACGAGAGAACTTCTTTTTAATAGCTGTAAAAATTTCAACCATATATAGAATTTTTTTTTTATTTAAAAGGCTTTGTCATAGTATATAAATTCATATATGGGCGCTTTGCAGTAGAAAAAGGATGAAACTATAAAAAATAAATAAATATTACTTTTCATGCTAAATATGATTTTTTTATTTTTTTTTAGTAAAATAAGTCCTGATTTAATATAACTTGAAAATTTAGAGATTTCTCTCTTTCTATTGCAAAAGCGCCCATATTAATGTCCATACAATACAATAAAAGAAAAAAACTTCAACTTATAAATCAATTAAATTAAATCATAATAATTTGGTTACTTAAGGAATTTCTTTGAAATAGATGATGTCATTTCCCGAATTATCAGCATATGCACGATCTTTTTGTATTACATGACATAGACATAATGGCTTTTTTTCTTAATAATATTTATCATAACTAAGATTTTAAATCAAATTTTGCTGATGGGATTCCCATAAAGAAAAATCAAAGAATTCCGACATCAACGAATCGTCGGAATCCGTCGATTCCTTTCTAGATTCGTAACTCATTTCCCTCGAAGATTCAATCACAGTGAACTGTCTATCTTTCTTAACTCTTGGTTTTGGGATATAATGATACTTTGGGTACATTTTTTTGTGCTTTTCAATACAAGCCAAGTAAAGAACTTGGAAGAACTGCTTAACTTCATTCGGTTGGGATTCCCATATGATTTTAGCAGTTTTTGAATGTTCCGGAGATCGCAAAGTTTTAGCGAATTTGGGAGATTCATTTTTTATCTTTGCCAACAAGTCTTTTCTAAATAATATAAAAACGTTTTGAGGACGTGGGGGAGTTTCAGAATCTTTTCTTTTAGCGGGTGCCAGTAATTCCTCTAACGAGAGGGTTAATCGATACGGTGGATTTATCATTATCTTATCTATCAACGAATCGAGACTTTCTCGGAACGAACAGGTGGATGAGGAAGAGGAGGAGGAGGAGGAGGAGGAATTATAGCAGAAATTGGTTTGAAAAACAAACTGCATACTACAAATATTATCATTTGACGACTTTGGTGGTGAATGGGGCCTTTCTAATGGAATCCGGTAAGGCGCGTTTGTATATTTCAAACGGGATTGAAGTTCATCAACATTAATATCGACATTCGATTTTTTTGATGGAGGCATTTTTACGTTTTTTTTTTTTTCAAGTGATAAAACCGAAATAAGATTCTTTAATTGATGATTTCAAAGAAAAAAAAAAAAAAAAAAAAGAAGAGAAATTGTCATTCTTTAAATACTTGAAATCCTAATTAAACTTTGAAATTCAATCCGGAGTCAATTAACGAGGGTTGTACAAGTGTGGCTAAGGATAAGTGGCTTGACAACAGTTCTATTAGAAAGGTTTTTTGATCTACAGTGCTCTTCATTTCTATTTGTGGCAACAATGATCATTTCAACTTTTTATGTAGGAATATAAGAAAAAAAAAAAATTTCAGGCAATTAATAATTTATACTTTTGAAAGTAATAATAAACGAACTTTGTTAACTTGATAAATAACATTTTTTTGGATCATAAAAAAAAAAAGAAGCTAGTATTTATTATTTATTATGTCCTCATGCATGAATTTTTATTTGTTCACTGAATTAATTAATGATTGATAATACCGTATCGACATTGATGTTGTTAACTTGATATATATATCATCTGAGCGCATGTTCGTGTGAATGATTAGAACTTCTTTTGTTCTTTACCAAATCAGATAACCCACAAATATTCGGAAAAACAATCCGAAATAGTCACAACATTAATTAACGAATATCTTTTAAATTCGCATCATTACCGATTACATAGATTTCAAAGCCTTTGTTCTTCAACTTTGGAATCCTTTCTCGGAGTTTGAAATCATACCATAAGTGTGGGATCGCGTCACGTAAGGTGACATCAATAGTGGGAATGAAAAAAACGAACCATTTAGCTCTTTGTATGTATGACATAACAAAAAGCCTTTAGAATAGTCCGACGCGCCAAAAAAAGATCTCACAAAAAGGGTTCAACTTAATCTTTCTTAACGTCGTTTCAGAAATACCCGAACTCTGTGACAATGAAGATCCAATTTTTGATTGGCTAGATATACCTGTGTGTAGATCCGATGCCGATGGTAATTGTTTGAAATTACCAAATCAAGAATCTACATCAAATACTAACGACACAGGATTTAAACTTACAAGGAATTGAAAGGATTGTATTGACATGGAAATATTGATCAAATGGTTCTCTTTTAGATCAAAAATGTCCCTTAAAAAAAAAAAAATATTCATCATTGGAACAATGTATTAACTTTTTACAAATCGATTTTGATTTGAAAGGAATTCGAATCTGACGGGATTAAATTCTCCCTTCATTAATTGCTTGCATTATGTGCACAACCTTTCACCTTTACAGGATTCACCCCTTCCTTTGTGTTTCAAAAAATTTAATTTAACGAGATTGTGTTTCACTCCCTGATAAATATTCTTACATATGAATTAATCATTGCATGATTCGAATATTTATTATGACCATTACTTTAAGGAAACAATACCATAGACATCATAAATCAAACGAATTTTGTGTTCCAAACTTTGATATTAAAAGAAAATAAGAGAAATTGGGCTGAAGATTAATTATACAATACCCGATGAATTTGGTTATCCGCGTGTTTTTACCCCCTCAATTGCTATAACAAGAAAAGGGAGATTAAAGCACATTTTTTTGAAAATAATTTTTTTTTTTTTTTTGTAACGCGGTTGGTTTTTGATGAGATCTACATTAACTGCATTCGGGTTAGCATGAAATTCTTGAGCCGAGACAATGTCGTTTTATAACTCGCGAAATGATAGGTTTACCCTTATCTTTTCTTTTGATCTTTGTAAAAAATGAATATATTGATATAATGTAAAATGAGCAATAAAGTAACCAATTTATTAGATAGCCATGTTTCTGATCATAACACCGAAAACAAAAAAAAAAAATTTGCTCTGAAAAATGATTTACATTGTATTACCCTTATTAGGCATAAATTACGTACAGCAGACGTGTTAATTTATGGTTGTACGAGACGAGAACCGACCAATGTGAGGCGCGATCATTACAAATAGAGGGTTAGATGAAAACGTCGAACCTCGTCATATACTACGCCAAATTCGACGTTTGAATAGTAATCATAAATAATATTTCAAGTAATAAAGTTTTTTTATTTGGAGGTAAAGATGATAATCTTCTCTAAAGTATTTGGACGTTAATAATAGGAAATTAAAACATTTAACAAATAGATTATTTGATATGATAAATTTAATAACGATATATTTTTATTAACTTTTATTTTCATGAGATTAAAATACTATATTACTATTACTTAATAAATCTTATTTCTATTTAAAAAAAAAAAAAATTATATGTAAATGATCTTATTTATTCCTTAACCTTAAATTCAAGCTTATGTAGATTATTTTACTTGATCAAAGATATAAAGATGATGGATATTTAATTACGATATATTTATGTAACATGGCAAAAATGTCGTTCATATTCCCACAAAATTCGATTCAGTCAAAAGATCTGAAATACTATTATCATCATTAAAAGCTGATAATGAAGTAAATGTCACGGGCATAATGGTGGGCGTACATTGTTGCAGTTCAAGAGAATTCGCATCGAAATCGGAATAATAATTAGAAAAGGTTGGAAACACATCTTCAATCATATTATGATCACAAATGGTTGTTGGTTGAAGGTTCCAATTTTCATCGACAATGTTATCATCATTATTGATATAATACTTAAACTTGCCTAAATTAAACAAAGGATCTTGACGGATATTCGAAATTAAAGTCTCATTCTCGGCAGATAATGGTTGATAATTATAAATGGTTGAGGATTCCTCATAGGTAAATATTGAAGTGACCGTCGAAAAATTTGAAAAATGTACATTTTGCGTGGATGAGGGGGTTTGAGGATTCAAAGATTCGGGTGACGAAGGAGGGGAAAGAGAAGGTGAGGTTGAAATATGTTGAGGAGGTTCGGATTGTTTTGGTTGGTGAGATTGAACATCGGTTTGTCGTGGCGTGACAGATTCGGACGCGTTATCGTTTGACGCGTTAACGTTAATGTTTGCGGATTGTTTAATAGTTCCATCCTTAAAAATCCAATCCTTTAAGGTATTTTCTTTGGTGGTAGGAATTTTCTTTTTAGGGGTATATTTATAGTCCGGATATAATCTTTTATGTTGATCATGAGCCAGTCTTGATAGAATTTCAAAATAACGTTTAACCTTTACGGGTTGTTTCCTCCACATTATACCGGCATCAGTTGAAACATTTTTCATCTTTAATGCCTTGTCAGGAAACCTCATGCGTTGATTGGCCTCATAATCTTTACGAAATAATACCCAAGCGTTTTGTGGTCTCGGAATTTTATCTTTTGATTTGTTCTTATTTTTACGATTCTTCCTAGCCGTCGACAACAGATCCCTTATCGAAAGCGTAAGTTGATAGGGAGGAATTCGAATTAACGAATATTCTTCCTCTTTGAGTCGTTGCACGATCATTTCATCGATTTGAAAATACGGTGGTGGTGAGGGAGAATTGGTGACCGCAGTTACGTCAGCGTTGCTGTTTGGCAATTTGGTAGATTTGACCTTGGGCATTTCTCTTTGACTGTTTTTTTTTTTTCTTTTATTTATTTATTTATTTATTTTTTTTTGTGTTTGCTTTTTCATCTGATCGAAAGGTATCGATGTGTTTAAATAACTTTTTTTTTTTTTTTTTTTCCCTTTCCCCCCCCTTTTTAATCTTTCCGACAATACCTCTAGAGTAATAAAACTTAGTTTCAATGTACGAGGATTATCATTTCCGCATTTAGATCCTCTGAGACATGCATGATGATAAAAGGTAAGATCATATATTTGTATACTTGAATAGGAAATTTCTTACACACAGTGAAAAAAAGTGACAAGACATGTTAAAAGACTCGTTTGTTTGAAAATCTCCGATAATTTACGTATTTGTTCAGTTCATCGAATTTAATAAAAAGGATTTTTGTCCAATTCTCCTAAAAAATCTCGGTCCGACCCCCTTATTTTTTTAGATTTTTTTTTTTTTTTTTCAGATTTTTTTTTTAGAAAAAACAAAAAAAAAAAAATATGCAATAGGATGAAAGAACAATAAAATCAATCATATGATAATAATAATAATAATCATTACTATTGTTTATTTTTCAAGTAAACGGAGATAACCTGCGCCACGTCGAAGCGTTTCCAAAATTCCAAATGAAAAGTGCCATAAAACGTGGAGAAACGAAATATAAATAATCGAGTGCATAAATGTATGTTTCATTTAGGTTGAAACACGAAGGCGATGAGATGATACTAAATAAGGGTAAACCGTAACAAAGATAACCAGTTCATCATCCGGATTCCCCAATGGAAAAGGTGTTGAAACCCTCTTCCAAATCAAAGATAAAAATCACTTCATGTGGAACTCGCAGGGGATGACGCCAACTGATATAATGGGAAAATTTTCAAGCTAATCTAATAGAGTAATTCCATACGACCGAACCTTGGATGATCAAAAAGAAACGATTACTGTGGCGATTTTCGTATCACCTTGATTGTTTCCGAGAATGGAAATTCCCAAGATAAAAAGGAAACTTTATGGTTCGATTGTACCATCCAAAAATTAATGGGGTTTTTTTTGAACCCTCTATTTTTTGGATTATCATTTGTTTGTTAATGTTCATCCAACAAATCAACTGAAATCACTTTACTCCCTTAAATATATATATGAAACGTATTTTTATGGAGATACAAGTGATACAACCATAAACATATGTGGTTGGGAACGGAATTTTCACGGAATTTAGGGTCCGAAAAAAAAAAAAAAACCTAATATTTTTCATACTTGAGCTTTTTTTAAACGATATTAACGGATAAATAAATCTAACGTGTGACACCGGTTATTACCTCAATTAGTCTTTATTCTTGATGAATATTTATATTTCTTTTATGCAAAACTTTATAAGCATATATCTATAGCATATTCTTTCGGTTAACCCATACACTTTGTTTAACATTATTTTTTTATAATAATAAGTTCAAAATGGGAGTATTAGAATATATTTTTAAAATATAAAAAAAAAAAAAAAAGTAAATGAATTGTTAATTTTCGATAATGTTTTCATGACCGTTTTTATTTTTATTTTTTTTTAAAAAAAAAAAAAAAAAGGAAAAAAATTCATATATAAACAACTCGTAATGCGCGCATTAATTAAAAAAAAAAAAAAAAAAAGATAAAGTAAAAAAATAAAATGCCTAAAGATAAATCCAATATTCTTTTACCAAGCGTAAATGACCCAACTCCATACCCTACAGCATTCATTAACACAATAGATACATCCCTCCCCCTTTCAAACCTTACCTCATCAAATCAAATTCTCATTCCTTTATTACCAGGCGTACCATACGTCTTGACACTTCCCTTGGAAGAATTACTCGTACCCAAACTAAGCACTAGGGGAAAAATTCCTCGCCCGCAAAATGCTTGGATGTTATTTCGTAAGGATTTTACCGCCGGAATCAAATTATTAACCAAGCATGATAATAAGAAATTAACCGTGCATGAAATTAGCTTTTTGGCTAGTAAATCTTGGAATCAACAACCTTCTGAAGTCAAGCAATTCTTTGAAATCTTACGTATGGCCGCAAAAGAAACTCATAACCTGCATTATCCGAATTATCGATATCGTCCTGAAAGAAAATTAAAGAAAAATACCCCAGTTGATAAAAAAAAGGTTAAACGGGACCCCACGCAAGAGGAGAATTTCAGTGATCCCGCGCCAAAGAAAAAAAATTCATTCTTGCGGCCTACGATGGAGACCTTTACAACGATCATTTAAGATTTATTTTATTTTTTTTGGGTTAATATTTCAATTAGAAGTTCCAGTGTATGATTTGGTAGTGCACATGATTGATGAATATCCGCACGTTTAAAAAAATATTTGTGCGCAGTCCGCACTTAATATGCACTATCCATCGCAATTTTCGCACATATTCTCATCATATAGTGTGCACTTCCGCACTTATGTTTAGTTTGAAAATCTTACATTGATTTATATTAGAGTTTTTTTTTTTTTTTTTACAACCATTTTATAAATAAGATACAGTAATTAATATTTAATACATTTCAATATCTATAATATCTTTTTTTTTTTAATATAATGTAACGTGGTATGATCTACGAAAGAAAATAAAATAAAGTTTTTTTTTAAACATCAAAACCAAAACGAATATCGTGGTAAAGTTCCACGCGTGATTGATTATGTGTGTGCTTACGACGGCGCCCAATTTTTGTGTAATGTTCCTAGAACGTTTACACATTTATCCAGGGGTGTTCGTCATTCGTGTGACATATCACATCTCCAATCAAAAAGTGCCAAAAAAAATAATTGTCCGAATTCCGATGAAAAAATCTTAAAAGTCTGGACCGCTCTTAAGCCTTTTAATGACAAACAGATGCATTTAGGAGTTCTGACTAAAAGGGTTTGTTTCAGGTATTTTTAACATTTTGATAGCGTCATAAGGCGAAAACAAAAGGTTAATGATATAGTAACACGTGTTCAACAACAAAGTTCGAAAAGGTAAAAACCGAAGGGTCGGAAATCCCAATTTTGAACCAATAATTTTGGCCAATTCGATTTTTGGTTGGCGCAGTAATGCATTCTATGGAATTCCATTAAAGCAATCCAGGTTAGTGTAATAAAGAGTCATAATTTACCATGCATTCATGTGTGTGGTTTTTACTCATAATTACACATCCATCGACAGAAATTCCTTTTTCTTGAATTCTTATTTGTCCGAGTGAGTTGGTCCGTTCGTACTTTTTTGTCCTGACAAATAACATTCTTTGTCAATAATCTAGAAAAACGGTTACTGTTACGGCCATGCGCAACACAAATGTGCACATCAGTTTCTTTTTTTTTTTTTTTTTTTTTTTTTTTAAAGAGGATGTTTCTAATAGGAATATCCCGGAACAGTGCCAATAAAACAAAATTCTTGTGTGAATCTCATCTAACCAAAACCTCTTTCACTATCATGCAAAAAATTCTCCGAATGACAAATTGACAAACTGGCGCCAATTCTTGGAATGATAAATAAATAAATAAAGCATATAAAATGACGATCAAAAAAATTATTTCCTTTTTGGTTGATCGGTTAATTCATCCCGATAATTTTATTTTTCTATTATTTTACTTTTTTTTTTATAAAAAGGCGCTTTCTCCCCCTTCATTTTTTTTTTTTTTTTTTTTTTCTTTAGCAATAACTAACTTGCTTAACAATAATTTCAATACCATTCTAATTCTCTTTCGAAAAAAAAAATAAATAATAACTAAACAAACAAAATGCCTAAATCAAAATCAAGTTATATTAACGATAAATCATCAATAACGTCCAAATCTTCAATGACTTTCACAAATTCGCAAGATTCTTCGTTTCAAAATTTAACGTCCTACCTTACACCCTCTGTCACAGCAGAGCCATATAAACTAACCTTATCACTTCACGACTTACTCTCTCCTAAATTAAAATCGAATGGATCACCGGCAAAACCGCAGAACGCATACTCGTTATTTCTAAATGATTACATCGCAATGATTAAGCAACAAGGCCTTACCGTTAATCAAGGTCAAAAATTAACAAGGAAGGAGATTTCATATCATGCTAATAAATCATGGAATTCACAACCTTCACAGGTTACTCGATTTTTTGAGATACTATCGATGAGCGCTAAGGAAATTCATGAGTCTCTTTATCCTGACCATAAATATCGTCCAACCAGAAAACACGGCAAGAAAATAAAAAGAACGAATGACGAAAATATAAAGGAATTAAGGTCTAATCATACGATAAATAATACGATAAATATACCAACATCGGATTTACTCCATGCAAGCGTTGATTCGTTTCCGAATCTTGATGTCGATTTTGAATTATATGAACCCAAGGAAGAAGAAATATATTTCTCGTTATTTCCAACGTCACTAGATAATTTATAAGGAACAAACGTATTAAGTTTAAATAAGATTTAAGATTGTATCATAATATTTAAGAGTTTTTTTTTTTTCTTTTTTTTTAAAAAAATTTATAAAATTTGTATTTAAAAAGTCGCACATTTCCATTTATTGAAATAAAAATATAAAGAATCAAACAATGTAATTAAAATTAATAATAAAAAAGTGATGATCATGCCAAAAGTCGTCTGCATATATATTTGTTTTTTTTTTCACCGTTTTGAGCGTTCGTCAATGGAGCTTGGAAAATCAGGTGACTGGTAATGTTTATTGATCACAAGACATTATCATGCTTGCTTCGCAAATTTCAATTACCCATCTAGAAAAACAAACAAAATAAATAAAAAAACCTTGATAATCTCAAAGCAAACTTTCTATTCAGGTTTTTTAATAAAATATTTGTCAGCATGCTTAAAGGCAATCATTCAATACAAATGGCGTAGTTTAAATTTACGTGTACTTGTACTTCATTGAATATGCACTGTTTGATGTTTTTCATATGAATTTTTATCAAAATCAGTATATATAAATATAAAGCCATTTCTTTTTTTTTTTTCCTCCAAGAATTAAAATCTTTGAATTACCATAAATGACAGTTCGTGTTTTTTTTTTTTTTTTTTTTTTAAAAAAAAAAAAAATTAAATTTCATTTAACATTTTTCTTTTGGTTTGCGTAATAGAACAAGATTTTTAATTGTATAACCGTGATAGTATCTGCAGTTGTTTTTTGGATACTGCAAGTTTCTTCTCCATGGATTCAAGTAAATGGTCAAGTTATATTTGGTGTCGATACTTTTTTTTTCCAAATAAAAATTTATTTTTTAAATAATTTCTGTAGATGATGAGACGCAAAAAGACACCGGCAGAGATACTAAGAAATGAATTACATCATGCCAAAACATATACAGAATGGTGTAAAAAATCGCAGGAATTAGACGAGTAATATCAATCAATCAAATCTTTTTGTTTCTCATAATAGAAATACATAAATATATTAATTTTTTTTATTTTTAAATATATATATAGTCTTTTAGGTAAATAAAATTTATGTTCCTCAACTTTTTTTTCCTCATTCAGAACTCTAATCTTTTTTTTTTTTTTTTTGATTTTAGCAAACGAAGAATGGAAACAAGATCCAGCGTCACCATATTATGATTACATGATGATTCAAAAAAGGTTGGAACACCTTAGGGGAGTTCGTGAAAGCAATGACGTTTTATCAATGATTTATCTACTAAGGTCAGGTCTATTGCGAAATTTGGGAGGTATAAATGATCCAAGGTTATTTTGTAAATCATATCTGGGGACCAAACAATTAATACAAGATTATACGCAAGAAATCGTAACACAATTAGATGATATAGGAGAAAAAGATTTCACAGATCTTCCACAATATTCAAAATTGGAATTCTTTAATGATACTCGTCAATCATTTGGATGCACTGCTTTGGTATTATATGGTGGGGCGACATTTGGCTTATTTCATTTAGGTGTCGTCAAAGCGTTAAACAAGCATGGGTTATTACCTAGAATCATTAGCGGCACCGCTATTGGAGCTTTGATTGCCGCTTTAGTTTGTATTAGGACTGATGAAGATTTACCAAGTATTTTTGAAGAAGGTGGTGTGGATTTAGGTGCCTTTTCAAAAAAAGGAAGAAAAGGAAACATAAAAAGGAAAATAAGTAGATTTTTAAAACATGGTAAGGGAAAAAAAAGGGAATTGAAAAAGAAGAGAGTTTCTATGCCTCGATTCGATATACTCATGATGAGTCATTTTATTATAGGTTATTTCATGGACATCAAAGTATTGGAAGAGTGCGTTCGAAATAACGTTGGGGACCTCACATTCGAGGTAACCTATTCTAATAGAGAATATCATTTCTTTTGAGAGTGATAATTTTAATTCACCCTTCTCTTACCTCCTATAGGAAGCATATTTAAAAACAAAAAGAATATTAAACATCACGGTCTCATCAACTAGAAAATTCGAAGTTCCTCAGCTTCTCAACTATTTGACCGCACCCAATGTATTGATACGAAGTGCGGCTTGTGCTTCTACTGCCATAATGGGATTGTATGATAGTGTTGATTTGTTGGCCAAGGATAAAGCTGGAAATATCGCACCTTGGGCCCCAACTGAAATTAAATGGAGAAAGTGGACAGATGCAGTTCCAACTGAAAGCGAATCTCCATTAACAAGAATTTCGGAATTATTTAATGTCAACCATTTCATCGTGTCTCAAGCAAACCCATATATCGCCCCTTTCATGGCAAAAGAACAATTTGGTAGTAGCACATTGATTAAATGTGGTCACCTATTAACATCCGAATTCAGGCACAGAATCAATCAACTTAAACAAATGCGTCTTCTTCCAAGAATGTTTCGAGGTTTTGTTGATGAAAAAGTTTCGGGAAATGTTACTATTGTTCCTTATCTATCATTTTCAGTAAGTCGTTCGTTCTTTCCTCTTTTTTTTTTTTTTTTTTTGTTTGAAAGAAGAATCACAATCTGATGACTAAAAAATTATATTTTATTTTATTTTATTTAAGGACTTTAAAACCCTGTTGTCGAATCCAACTCACTCGTCTTTGGATTATTGGATTCTGAAAGGAGAACAATCTACTTGGCCTATGTTGGCTTTGATAAGAAATAGATGCGAAATTGAACTGGCTCTTGACAGAAGTGAGCAATATATAATAATATTTAATTTATTTCTCACACTACATTTTTTTTTTTTAAACTCAAATTTTCATTTTCACAGTCCATTTGAAATTGAAAGCAACCACGATCGAACGCGCTTATTCTATATACCAAAATGCTAATAAAGAGAAAGACAATGGAAGGAAACGCACTAAATCTATCCACTAGAATCAAAAGTCAATAAATTAACCCAAATAACTCGAGCAAACAAAAAACAACGTGATAAATGATCAGAGTTGCAAAAAAAACAAAACAAAATAAAATAAATTTACTTGTCTTCGAATGGATTACTCCCAGATTGATTTCAAATGTCTCTTTTTACTCAATTTATCTAATGCTTTTTCAATTTTAACTTCCACTTTTTCTCTAATCATCAAAGCTCGTTTAATTCCCTGTTCTTGCCTTTTCTTGGCTTTTGTCCGAAGTATCTTTTGTTTCTTTTTGATCTTGTGAAGTAAATTATCGGCACCTTGCTTAGTGCGTAGTTGCGTTGCACTTACCGCACGTGGACCGAGGGAATTACCTAAGTATACGTTGGTTTAGTTTCTAATTAATTAAGACTTCATTCTATACCGAATAAAGTAAACTTACTTTCTGGTGAAGAGAGAGACGACTTGTCAACACCTGCAGGTTTTGACGTTGGCTCATCAATTCGCATACTATTTCGTTCTATACCATATCATAAAGAAAATGAAAAAGGAAGCTTATTCATGTGAATTACTAAAAAAAAATTATATATTAGAAATACATACTCGGTTTACCCATTGAAAGCAAGAATTATCTATAGGGGAGTGTTCAAGTGTCGTTTTTGATTTTTTTTTGATTTGAATAAAGTAAAATTTAACGACTCAAATAGCCAATCAAATTTGATTGAAAATGATTGGAGGTAACTATTTATTAACCCCTGTTCATGGCCTGATCCGAGCATGATCAAATGGATCACGTGATGATTAAGGATAAAAAAAAATACATTTTTGTAGATTACAATCCACCGTGTTAAAAATTAAATTTTACTGAGTAAAGTTTCACATTGTAATATATTTATTTCTCTATATGTCTCGGACTTATCAGACTCTTCATCTGTAACATAAATGTTTTTTCCTCGCAATATAAACATAAAGCCGTTTGATCTAGATATATTTATTCTTGCCAATGAACGAAGTTCGTGGTTCTTTCGAAATCTCAGATCCAAAAATAATTGATCAGATTATAGATATTATCAGATAATCACGTTGATATTCATCGATCAAAAATCTACAAATAAAACGAATAAAACTGAAGTAAACTACAACGAAAGCGCCCTAATCCTTACGCCGTTTCTTTTATTTCTTTTTTCTCATTACTTACCTATTTCCAGTGACCTATAAAAAAAAAAATGGTATCTTAATTATCTTTTACTCTTTTTTTTTCCATTCAAATTTTTAATCAAAGTGTAAAAAAATAACGTGAGCTCGTTACTTGAACTTGTGTTTGATTTTAAACTTAGGCTGGAGCGCTGGATAACGCGAAAGATAGCTTGCCAAAAATAAGAGATGCTGAAAGAGAAAGCGATTTCGGTTACGTTTTCGCTGTTTCTGGTCCAGGTGACAATCATACTTTTTTTTTATAAACCTTGTTTTTTGAAGCCCGATCTACCGACATTTCTTACATTTTTTTTTTTCTACAACTTTAGTCGTGGTCGCGGAACAAATGAATGGATCTGCCATGTACGAATTGGTATGTACCAACATCACGTTCTATTTCTTTTATCTCGTCGAATTCTTTTTCTTAATCTCACTTATTTCATTAAGGTAAGAGTTGGTCATGAAGAACTTGTTGGTGAAGTCATTCGTATTGATGGTGATAAAGCAACAATTCAAGTTTATGAGGAAACTTGTAAGTTTTTTTTTTTTTTTTTTTATTGATGCTCTTTGATGATTCCTTATATTGATCTTTAATACATGTTATTATAGCCGGATTAACTGTTGGGGACCCTGTATTAAAAACAGGAAAACCTCTTTCCGTCGAATTGGGACCTGGTATGTTTTCAATTTTTTTTTTTTTTTTTTTTCTTCCGAATTTTAATATCAAAATTTAATCTAATACGTTCTTCATAGGGTTGATGTCCAACATTTATGACGGAATCCAACGTCCACTTAGAGTGTGTTATAATATTATAATAAGTTATAATTTATTTGTTTATTGATGATCGCGTTTAATCCTAAGTTCTCTTCTATTGATGTAGGCTATTCGGGAAATTTCTAATAGTATTTATATTCCACGTGGTATCTCAACCCCTGCGTTAGACAAAAATATCAAATGGGACTTTGATCCATTAAACTTTAAAGTACGTAACTTGCCTTTAAAAAAACCATTATGCTGGTGCCATGCGATTTTAATAAACATTTTTAAATTTTTTTTTTTTCAGGTTGGTGACCATATTACTGGTGGCGACATATATGGCAAGGTTTTTGAAAATTCCTTATTGAATGATCATAGTATAATGTTACCACCAAAGGCTCTTGGTACAATCACGAACATTGCTGAAAAAGGTTCATATTCTTTGGAGGTACGTCGATTAAGATGTGACAATAACAGTAAGGGTCATCAAAACTCTGACGTGTTCCTTTAATTGAATAGGATATCATACTTGAAACCGAATTCGAAGGACAAAAATCCAAGCATACAATGTTGCAACTTTGGCCTGTTCGATCGCCTCGTCCTGTCACGGAAAAATTGGCAGCTAACTTCCCATTATTGACCGGTCAACGCGTTTTGGACGCTCTTTTCCCGTAAGGCTTGCTTACTATATTTAAATTCAAAACGCCTACTTGAACTTTACTTATTTTGAATATACGAAATTTAGTTGCGTCCAAGGCGGAACCACCGCTATTCCCGGAGCTTTCGGTTGTGGTAAAACAGTCATTTCACAATCTTTATCTAAATATTCTAATTCTGATATTATTATATACGTCGGTTGTAAGTTGTTGAATTTAGCTCACATTTTATTGTAATGATTTTATATAACAAGTATTATGATTTTAAAAAAGTATAAATCGATCAAATTTTAGGTGGAGAACGTGGAAACGAAATGGCCGAAGTATTAATGGACTTTCCTGAGGTTAGTTAAAGTGCCAAACTTATTATTTTATTGAGTGTTTAATATTTAAACTTTGATAACTAATATTTAGCGTTCTCTCCTTTAGCTTAGTATCAATGTTGATGGTCGTCAAGAATCTATTATGAAACGTACAACACTGGTAGCTAATACTTCCAATATGCCTGTCGCTGCTCGTGAAGCTTCTATCTATACCGGTGAGTTTCATTTAATGCAAAAGATTATATAAATTATGTGCCTACTAACAAATTCTTTATCAATTTTTACTAGGTATTACATTATCTGAATATTTCCGTGATCAAGGCAAAAATGTTGCCATGATGGCGGATTCAACTTCTCGTTGGGCCGAGGCTCTTCGTGAAATCTCTGGTCGTTTGGCTGAAATGCCGGCAGGTAAGTTAAATCAGATTCACAATCCGTCTATTCTCATTATCATCTATTCGGTAGTAATATATGTTCTCTTTTATTTCACAGATAGTGGTTATCCTGCTTACTTGGGCGCTCGTCTAGCCTCTTTCTATGAACGTGCTGGTAAAGTAACGTGTCTAGGGAATCCAAAACGTGACGGAAGTGTTACTGTCGTTGGAGCGTATCCTTTGTGATCGAAATCGATGCTCATAATTATTATGATTTATGTTGTTATCCTTAATCGAATGTTGTTATTACAGTGTCTCACCACCCGGCGGTGATTTTTCTGATCCTGTGACGTCAGCCACTCTTGGTATTGTTCAAGTATTTTGGGGTTTAGATAAGAAATTAGCCCAACGCAAGCATTTCCCTTCAGTCAACTGGTCTTTAAGTTACTCAAAATATCTCAAAGTATTGGAACCTTACTATGAATCGACTGAACCAGATTTTATCTCTATCAGAGATAAAACTAAAGAAATCCTTCAAAAAGAAGAAGATCTGTCTGAAATCGTCCAGCTGGTCGGAAAGGTATGAATGAGGTCAATTTATCTATATACATTATATGAAACTTCATTAAAACTTATTTTTACTAACTAAAACTAGAGTGCACTTGGTGAAGCTGATAAAATCACTTTGGAAATTGCGAGAATCATAAAGGATGATTTCTTACAACAAAATGGTTACTCAAGTTATGATCGTTATTGTCCATTCTACAAGGTAATATTTGTTAATTTATTATTCATATTTGATTTTTTTTTTGAATTAAACATTTAAAAAGAAAAATTTTTTTTTTATTTCCTCATCAGACTAATTGGTTACTTAAGAATATGATTGGTTTTTATAATGCTGCCACTCACGCTGTTGAAGTTACTAATAATGAAATAACGTGGGCTAAAATCAGAGATTCTATGGGTGATCTTATGTATAAGCTTAGTTCTATGAAATTTGAAGTAGGTTTTTTATATTTTGTTACTTTTAAAAAAGTAAACATTCTTTAATACTAACATAATTGAAAATTGGCAAATATTAATCTCATAAGGACCCTGCTGAAAGTGAGGAAGTTCTTCGAGAACGTTATCAACAATTGCATATAGAAATTCAAGAAAGGTTTCGACAATTACTTGAATAGGAAGGAAGATTGGACATTTATAAGATTTCATGGATTAATCATTTACTTTAGTTATTTATTTAGAATTCTATTTATAATTTCACCTTTTGAGTCGTTTCTTTTTTAGGGAATTTTTTTTTCATAAGTTGCATCTATTATTCTTATATGTATTATTAGCATCAATATACCATTTTATTTAATGAATTGATTAAATTATTCTCCTTTACTTTAAATAAATCTTTAATAATTAATGATTTATATATAATATGTATGAAATCTGGATTAATTAAAATATATTAAACTCTATTTATTCTAAATTTAAATTTAATCTACTGTGATACCCTTGGTTCTTAAATCATTTTTTGCTATTTGAATTTCCTATGTATAAAGTTTATAATGCTTTTTAATCACAAATGAGAAAATCCAAAGATTACAGATAGATATATATATAAATATATAAATTACCGTCATTAATTCACGGTAAGCATCTTCACAATCTCCGAAAATATAAACATGATATCCAATATTTCCAAGGGAATAAGCACCAAATGTAACAAGCGCCCACCAAGGAAGCTAAGAGAAAATAAATAAATAAATAATATAAACCTCTTAAAAGATATAAATATATCCACTCTTACCACAGGTAAAATATCTTCTTGTACTATTTCAGGAAGAGGAATTATTTTAAATAAAAAAATAATGTAAATTGTAAAAATCACACCAAGAAAACTTGCGGTTTGCGTAGCTTTTGTCATTTTCTTTTTTTTTCTTATTTTCTTAGAAAATAATGGTCAAATTTATATAAATCTGCCAAAGATCGATGAAACGTTACACGTGATCGAATTAAACTAATTAAGCTATATAAAGATTTTGAATGTTAGAATCATTTTGTCCATAAAATAAATAAAATAAGAAACAAATTATTTTTTTATTTTTTATTTTTTTTTTTTTTCCCCCCCAAATAATGGAATTTTATCAAGGATTATCACTTGATTTTAGCCATCTATTGGACGAGTCTGACGACTATGACGTTATCATTTATGCTGGTAAAGAACCAAATGTCAAAAAATTCCACGCGCACACGGTTATTTTGCGTGCGAGATCCCCTTACTTTCGTAGAGCCCTGTCAAGAGATTGGGCTCGAAAAGAAAACGGCTCAATCGTATTTCAGAAGCCGAACATAGCACATGAAGTGTTTGACGTCATTCTGAAGTTAGTATGTTTGTTCTGAGGAGTTTACACGCATCTGTAGTATATTCATTTATGTACTTTCCTTTATAGATACATTTATAGTGGCACCGCAGATTTACTTGCACAAGAAGGTGGTATTATCCTCAACCTTTTAACTGCCTCCGACGAATTAAATCTTCAAGAATTGATCGTTTATGCGCAAGATCATCTTATTCAACAAAAATCTGACTGGTTGCAAGAAAATGTGATACAAGTTTTGCATACTGTTGGATATTTAGAAGCTTGTAAAGATTTACAAAATTTTTGTTTGGGTTTGATTTGTCAAGATCCTTATTGGTTATTTGAATCAAATAATTTTTGTTCATTGGACGAATCTGTTCTTGTACCTCTTTTAAAACGCGATGACCTTTTAATGGAAGAAATTGAAATTTGGGATCACTTAATTGAGTGGGGGATCGCTCAAAATATATCATTAAATGAAAATATTTCAACCTGGACTCCTCAAAATTTCGAAACATTGAAAGGTATTTTAGAACATTGTATACCTTTAATTAGGTATTTTAATATTGATTCTAGTGACTATTGGGATAAATTGAGACCTTTTAGACAGATTTTACCAAGTAAATTACATGAAGATCTTTTGCAATATTATTGTAAGCGAGGAAAGATTAGTCAAACGGATACACTTATATTATCACTAAGGAAGATTGGTATTCAATCAAACATTATAAAGTTCAAACATATTTCCTTAATAACGAAATGGATTGACAGAAAGGAAGGACGTGAAACGAATTTGGAAAAGTCCAAATATAATTTTAATAGAATTCTTTGTGGTTCAAAAGATGGTTTTACCGCCGCTACTTTTCATAAGAAATGTGATGGCCTTGGTCCAACTTTGGTTATAATTAAAGTGAAAGAATCCGGAGAAATCATTGGGGGATATAATCCAATAAGTTGGAGAGGATCAAATAATCTAGATAGTAGTTGGTCGGCTCCAGCAACATGGACTGTTTCACAACGTAGTCGTACTTCTTCTTTTGGTAGTTTTTCAAGGTCTAATACCTACGAAGTAGGACCTTATCAAAGTACTCCCGACAGTTTTATATTTTCGTTAGGTGATGGGAAAGATCTTTTGAATGCTAAAATTAGTCGAATTATTCAAGATAATATGTCTGTTGCTGTTTTTTCATCTCCGCGACATGGTCCTTGCTTTGGTCAAACAGATTTACGAATGAATGATAATTTTAATGAGGCCGAAACTTGTACATGTCAATGCTACGATTACGAAAGTGAAATAACTGAAAATCATAATTTTTCTGTTGAAGAATATGAAGTATTTCAGGTTATAAATAAAGATATACCTGAATCTTCAAATCAGGCTTCAACCTCACAAATGCTTCCAAGACCCGAGCTTACAAATTACCCAACTGCTTGGTAAGAAGAAAAGAAACTAATTTTTTAATTTACAATTTTCAACTCAAATTTTTTAATCATATACCATTTATTTTATTATGTTTGATATATTCAGGGGAGAATTCATGCATTTTTGAAACTAGTATTTAATCATTTTTAGTTTGCTGGAATTATTGATGTTTGATTTATACAATTTATTAGTATATATGTAAAATAATGATTCGGATTAAGTTGTAAAAAATTGATGATTATTTTTGCTTATTACAAAATTTTATGTATAAATTTATAAGTTATTTGCAAAATATATGATTATTTAATATTTGAAATCATTTTATTCTTATTTTTATAGTTTTTTTTACTAATTTTATCAAAATAAATCAAATATTTGATTATAAATATTTGAATTATATTAATCACTAATCAAAAAAAAAAAATTAAAAAAATACTTATAAGTGAAATTATTTTTTAAAGTTTTTAAACAAATATTAGTAAGAAAAAAGATATTTTAAAATTTTTAAAGTAATATTTCAAATTCAGAAGTAATTTTTATTAGCAAATTATATCTTTAAATTTAAATACAGATTTTATTAAGTTTAAGATTACTTTTATTAAATAAATTACATTTTTAAATTTTAAATATTATTTTGAGTAAAGTAATTTTATATTTGAAATTTAAAAATAATTTTTATTAAAATATAGTAAATTAAGTAAATTAGTAAGAGGAGTGACACATATCATGTCATTATTAGAGAGGAAAATATTAAATATCTCATCTTTCATGTGATTATATGTCTAACCAATCAGAATAATAAAACAAATCTTATTATGATTTATTACTGTATTATAGATCAAATTTTTTATCAATTCAAAAGAAAATAAAATATGATTTATTGTCTTAAACTTTGCATAATCTTTACAACCTTTACAATAATCTTTTACTTCCTACTAGCATAAAAGTAAAACTATTTCACATTCACCTTCTTACTTATTTTTCGAATATGCTTCCTGGTTATTTAAGTTTTGAAATTGTATATTTCATATAGATACAACAGAAAAATCATCAATAGAATTAGTAAGTTGTCTTTTTTATTTGATTAGTCGTTCTCTTCTTCTTGGATGTTTACTTTTCTTATGCAGGATAACGAAGGAAAGAGTCAGAAAATATACATTGCAATCAGAATAGCAGAGACAATTATAAGTACTTGAATTACAGTAGCAATCATAAGTTTCTGACCGCCTGTGATCGTCTAAAATTATTATATAACTACCTCTTAAATTTTTCAGAAATATAATATAACACAATACATGATCACCTATAAATTTATAAGTGTTAATGATACAAAAAAAAAATTTAGATGATCATCAAACTTTTGCTTGAAAAATGGAACTTATTTAGAGAAACGATATGAAATTGTCTTTTTATGTAAGCATCCAGCTGATCCAAAGTTTAGTTTAGATTTATTGCTAAATGGGTACATTATAGTAAGTCTACAGCTATTTATTGGGTTAAAAGATATCATAAAAATCAGGACCTAAGTACTTCAGAAAGATCGAAACAGCTTTGTATAATATCTGTGAAATAAAATGACAAGATTATAAAGATGGCAGAGAAAGAACATAATATAACAGCCATTCAAATACAAGAAAAAATAGAAAAAAGAGGTGTTGGACTTAGTGTAGAAATAGTAAGGTGACATTTTCGTAAATCTGAAGGAAAGTTAATAATAAAATTTCTAAATCTTTGCTTAAAAAAGACTATTGAAAGAAAAGGTTACAATGGGCAAAAAAATATAAGAATTTTGATTGAAATCAAGTTATTTTTACAGATGAGAGTACATTTCAATTATATATATCAAAAAAAAGGTTTGGTAATTTCCTGGTAGAAAAAAGTGTTTTGTTCTGTTAAGCATCCACCAAAAGTTCATGTTTAGAGATGTTTTTCTGCTTCTGGATTTGGTAAGCTATTTTGCTTTCAGAGGAACCTTAATGCTGAATTTATATATACTAATTATAAGCAAAGTCTTCTGGCTTTTATTTCTAAACTTTTTGGTGAAGGTAACATAGATTGGATCTTATAAGAAGATAATGATCTAAAGCATCAATCGAAAATCGTAAAAAAATGAAAGAAAGAAAATGATATTGAGATACTTTCTTGACCATCAATGTTTTCAGACCAAAATCTATAGAAAACATTTGAAGGTTAATGAAAATTAATATACAAAAAAAAAATTCAATCAATTAGAGGGTTAAAGGGAGAACTTATAAAAGAATGGAACCAATTATTATCTGTACTTGCCGCAAATTTGATAGCTAGCATAAAAAGGTATACAACTGCATTTATAAAGTCAGATGATGACTATATAATATATTAATTTTAATTAGTTAGTTATGTATTTTTTAAATAAAAAAAAAATTTTTAAATTTACTTACTTGTAACTAGAGTTAGAGGCAATTAGATACTTATAACCGCTACTGTAATAGAAGGATAGTAGGTATTATATTCAGGTATTTAAGCTTATTATAATATTCTAATATATGGAGTGATATTCATCTTTTTCTTTTATTACAGGTAGGAGAAATCCATCATTTTTCACAAGAAAAATGGCTGCTTCTTCGTAATATTTAGGCGAACAATAAGAAGAATCTCTGCATTTTTAATATTAAGTGAGTATTGATATATTTTGGTATGACTTTCTAACCATTGTCAAGGTACTTCCGATTTGTCAGTTTTTTTTTTCAGATCTGAAAAATATAACATTACTGAACAGAGGGTTTTTAGATCAATATATTGTATAGTCACTGGCTTTCTATAAATTAAATCATGTTTTCAAAGAGTACATAAAGCTTCATTGGTATGATGAAAATTCTTTATTGTAAGCTTCAGATCAACTATCTGGCCTTGAAAATTGAAATGAGAACCTTGTTTATCGATTGACAATGTTATACCAACTAGTTTTTAAGAGAGTATTAACATATTACATTCTACAGGATTATATGCTGATTGACCAGATGCATATATTTGAATAGAAAGATAATTAAGATCGAAAGTACAAAATATTCTACAATATTGAAAAATGTTCTTCATATAATAAGAGTTTTCATCTTGATCTTTATCGACTAAAAGAATTCAAATAGATTTGATCTGGATATCAATTTTTAATATTCCATCAAAATAATTGTTCGAGTTAGTGAATTCAAATCACTCATATAGATAATTGAACTTGTACCAACATGATATTATGAGCATATTAAAATCAAAAGTTACTCATTATAAAGAGTATTATTTATATTGCCTAGATTAATGAGTAAATAAACTGATAAAATAAGCTTTTACTGCATACTAATCAGAAAGTTATGATCAGATAGGATAACTGGCTCTTTAAAACTTTGAATAGTTTGAAAAGTTTTTTCAACTATAGGAATACTAAGAGAAATCTTAGCTTTATCATCTTTAAAAATAATAACAGAATAGGTTAGAAATAGGATTGCAAATTGTTTTACTTCTTTTATAGATATATAAGACAATAACATTTATTGATATGCTTATTTCTTTCATTTTATGAAACAAATGCATTTGCAATAATGGCTGGGTGATTATGAATCTTTGCTGCTCTAGTATTTAATCGAGATAATAACAAATAATTATTAAAAGTAGCACAAAAAAATATTTATTATATTTTAAATTAAGAGATATCAAATTATTCTAACTTGAATGACTTCTTTTCTTCTCTTATTGTCTGTAACTTTGAATTTAATACTTTCATGTATATGCTCATATAAATTGGGATGCTAAACCAAAAAAGATGGATGACCAGGTGAATCATATTTTATTACCTCCTGATGTTCTTGCAGAAAATTTGCTTTTTTTACCCTGCTTTTTTATTGGTATTCTATATGACATTTTAATTTCTTAATCTTGCTATCTTTATCTTGTAAAACTTGCTTGAGGATTATCATGCATTCTATTATACTATACTAAATCTTCAAGTTAAAAGTAAAATTATAAGATCATTGAAGTTTAGCAAATTTTAAATTGACTGCATTAATAGTTTCAGCAGCTTTTTTTGTGCAGCAGCATTAGAAGATATAGTAATATTAGCTATAATATTCTCTTCAATTGTTCTTTGAAGGACTTGATTGGTCTGAGTGAATTTTAAGCTTTGAGATAAGCCAGATCATGTACTACTAATTCACAAAAAACCTTGTATTAGAATTAGAGTTACTAAGTATTTTCTGATTTTACTTTCAATATCTTTTTAAGATTTATGTTAAATCTCTTTTCATGCATCAGTATATTCTGTATATAAACTAACTTTTAGGTATATAGGATTTTTTTCGTTCACTATACGATAATATCCAAAAGCATTGTAAAACTTTTGATGTTTATTTGTAAATGTCTTATAAATATAAAACTTATTATATTTTGAAGTAATTAAAAAAGTTTGTATGGTAAAAAGGTTTTGGATAAAAAAATCAAGGTGTGATTGTAATGTGATTATATAGGTGCAATTATAATGCAGTTATATAGATGCAATTATATAGATATGATGAAATATAACTATTATAAATTACATGCAAATAATTTCATATTTTTTTTTATTACATTTTATTAAAAAATAATGAAAGATAACTTTATTAAAGAATCCTTAATAAATACTAATAAAGATTTTCATTTATAATGTAATATTTAAATAGTATAAATATATTTAATGATGATTGGCTATTTGTATAATCACATGATAAGTCTCACAAGAAGGAGAAGGAAGAGAAGTAATATAGTAACTTATAATAACGTGATATATATCACTCTTCTAAATACTCTTTAAATTTAAATTAGATTTTATTATTATTATAAAAATATTAGTAAATATATTTTAAACTTAAATGTAAATTTTTAAGAAAATATTAATAAATTATATTTTTAAATTTTAAAAGTAATATTTATTTAATAAAAATAAGTATTTAAACTTTAAAAGTAATTTTTTATTAAAAAATATTAGTAATTCATATTTAAAATTTCAAAAA